GAAAAATTAGGGCTAATGTCTTAAATTGATTTTATTTTGAGGAGTTTTTCTTTTCATTTGGGTCGGATCATTTTTAACAATGTTTTTGACACATGTTGCAAAAAGTTAGCCTTTTCCCAATGTTCAAAAACGTTGCAAAAGTGAAACTTACGCAACGTTTAAAAAACGTTTCAAAAGGCTATATATTAAGGGTTTTAGTGACATACTTTGAAAGTTGCTATAGAATTATATTTTAACAACCGTTAGCAAATGTTGCAAAAAATAAAACTTTTCGCAACATTTAAAACCGTTGCAAAAATAACATTAGCAAAATTTATTTAAAAAATATTGTTAAAACTCAATTACACTAACTAATTGCAACATTCACTTATTAGAATGTTGCAATAGACATGTTTAGCAACATTCAATTAATAAATGTTGCCTTTTAAAGGTTGTAAAAGAGCATTTTTGTTGTAGTGATTAAATTAAATTTATCTTTTATTAAATATGTTCAATTTTTATTGAATGTGTCATCATATTGAAATTTATTTTTTTAAGCACGTTATGAAATTCATGTTTGGTAATGCATTGGGTTGTTGAAATTTGGGACGTTACAGTAGAGGTGTCACACTAGTCAATCGTATGTGAATCTTGTGCAAAAAAACTCTTTGGAATAAGTGTTATGGGAGGTCCCTTTATCAATGTGGAGAATAGCTGCCTCATATTTCTTCGCTGTAGCACTCGTGGCACTTCGCCTAAGCCATGAAGGTCGGCTTTGACATGACACTTCAATTAAAGTGATGCATCACCTCAATTATCTTGTATGTGACCTCATCTCGATCAGATAGGTAGTGATGTGTAGTGTACCTTGTTTGATTAGCTGGCTGTCACATTAGAGATGACCTGAGGCCTCTTCAAAAGAAGCTTAACAAAATCCTTTCATTACCAACTTTAGAGTCTTCTGCATTCTTTCAATTTTTTTCTTTATCATGATCTCCATCTCTTTTGTTTAACTCTCCTACACACAATTTATTAATTACTAAGTTCTCTTTTTTCTTTATCTAATTTCTCCGTTGATAATGGAATAGGAAACAGAAATATAAAATATAAACTCTATTATTGTGATTGAAGGAGTTGAAATCATTGGGCATTACCTTGTTGTGGTTGTAGGAATTAAAAGATAGAGTATTAACATAGTTGTTCATTTAATTTTTACAAATAATTGTTTCGAGTACATTCAAACATGATATTAATGATTTTTTTGTTATAAAAAGTTATTGATATTATACTTCACATGTAATTATTGCCATTGTTTCATTATATATTTGAAAATAATTAAGGATATATAAAATTGGAATTGACCCGGCAGTTCAAACATCGACCCAAAAAGTTAAATATTTGGGTTTTTGTACAGTTTGATTGACATTATTTTCATGGAAAACACTTTTCTACTTTTGGTTACGTAATCATATTTTTCTTAAAATCAAAAAATATTTTCTTTAGGATGAGTAGGATTTTTTTTCCCTGGAATCGACTCTCACTTTCTCTTTTTTATCTATCTATTCTCTCTCATTTACCCGCCAATGAAAAAGGGACAAGCATAATATTTTCGAGGTTGAAAACTAAATCAATCAAAAACATTTAATTAATAATTTCTGTACAAATAAACTCTAGGCAATTCATTCTTTCCATGTAAATTTCATACTAACAATCAAACACATCCTAATAGTTTGTATGAGAAATGGTTATATTTAACAACTCATGATAAAAAAAATTACTTTTTATTCACACATTTCACATGACTCATAATTTTACTCACTAATCATACATCTAGATTTGTTCATAATAACATATCAAATAGAATAATGTAGAATTTACAACTTATATTCTTAAACAATTATTTGACAGAATTTTAAACACATATTCTTCAATAAAATAATATTAAATGCAAATTTATATCTTTTCCTTATTTTTAACTACATATTTCCCATTAGTATATTATTCAAAAATACATTTTTATGAAAAATAATATAGCTCAAACAAGGGCATAATCACTTCGACAATCGTGGATGTAATTCAACGACATCATATGATTCTTTTACTATGAAATATAATGCAATAAACAACTTTAGGAAATCGAAAAGAGAGAGAGAGAGAGAGAGAGAGAGAGAGAGAGAGAGAAAATGTATTGAATTTAAATCCCCAAAAATGTAACAGATCTCATGGGTGAGAAGTCGAAGAAGGTGAAAACCAAACACGACGGTCACCTTGCAAGATTGTGCATTGGATTGCTGGTGTTCGCAGCATCGCCATTCGCCGGTCACAATGTTCGCAGCAATAGACCATTTGCTAAATGTTGGAAGCTCACCATCCCCCGATGCCAAAATCATTGGCCGGTGCATCTCCTTTGTCGTTTGTTGCCAAAGTTTGGGCAATGTCAAAAAAGAGAGATCGGAGAGAAGAGAGATAAGGAACTGGGAAAGGAGGGGTTCTTGCAAAGCTAGCAGATCAGAGGTCGTAGGTTCAATTCTTGTGGCTCTTGGAAGGCAAGACACATATTGGAAGGCAGGATTTATCCTGAAAGGCAGGTATGTCTTTAGAAGGCAAGACGCAACATGGGTTAGCTCACTAAGCACTTTGGCAGTTCAGTTGGAGGGGTGCTCGAACCCTACAATAATAAAAAAAATAAAAAAAATCATGTAATCAAATGTCAAATTAAAATTATGGGAAAGTATGATAACTTTGCAACATGGTATGAAACTTTGCAAATAATGTTGTTATTGAATGAACTTATTAATAATTTGCTTTACATTTAAAACATCAATTTGATTTATGGTGAAAGAATAGAATTCCTCGGAGAACACAAACTGAAACAGCCAAAAAGTAGCAGTGTGTGCACTGCTCTGCAATTCTAAATTCTTACAAACGAAGGCAGGCAGCAGTAAAGAGGGACAAGAGACCGCGTTCAATGAGGAATATTAAGTCGGTTCTTCATGTGTTTTCATCTGTGCTTATTATTTTATTTCTGTAGAAAAACTGTTCGAAGTTTAAGCCAACCTTTGAAACCCCTATATTCTTCTCTGGTTTATTATTTAAAATATAAATGACAGTATGAAGAGGAGGAGGGGGGTGTGAAACTGTGAGTCATGTCTGCCATTTAACGTCAGAACAATTAAATTATTGTTTGGATTTTTCTTCCTTTTCATATTCTGTTTCTCCAGATTTCCATGCAATATCTGCACATGAGGAAACCCTAAAACTCGTCATCTTTCCACATCCAGTCAATCTTGTACTATTTCCATTTATTTTTTCCTCTCAAAACCGCAGTTCTACTGACGCTATCGAGGACTGGTCTGGGAGAAATTTATTGATTTTTTTTTTTTTTTGGTTTAATTATTTTCAATCAATGATCCATAATTTTTTTTCTACTTTTTAACTACACATTCTTAAAAAAAAGTCATTTTTCACTTGTAAGCTCTGTCCCAAACAAGCTCCAAATAATAATGTATTTGCAGCTAAAACTTTGAGCTGGGATGTTTTCGGCACATTCCTTAACGTAAGTGTTAAATTTATTTTTCTTTAAAAGTCATTGTTCATTTGTATGAGACTTGAATTACAGACTTTTATTTACTCTAGCGTCATATATTACAAGTGGGGAGAATACCCGAATTAATGTCGATTGTTACTTATGGGTTTATAGGATATTAACATTCATACCATAATGCAATTGCTTTCAATGTTTGCGGCTCCATCTTCAGTGTTTCAAAGGAAAGCCTGCCCATTCTTTCATGAAGATGCTTTATGGAAGTTCGAATTTCGAACAGCTAGCAAGCCAGCATATACTTCAAGTCAAAACTTTAAATAATCAAAATAACAATGATTTGCCTGTACATTTGCACCCCTTTTATACACTTTAGTGTCCATCTTCAATTTGCTAAGACAATTTTTTCTTAATCTGTTCACTAACATAAAAACATGGGAAACTAGCTAGCTCTATATAAGTATTGTCCCATATTTCATTTAAGGAATAGATAAACATCTTCCTGACTACTGGATTATATATTGAGCCCTTTTTGATATAGCTAAGTATCAAATTTTTAGTAAATTCTCAAAAAAATTAATGAAATGTGTAGTTAAAAGTCGATTAAAGTTGCTGATACTATAAATGTGATTAAAATTAATTATTAACTTTGATTTCAAAATTTTTTTTTATCAATGTTTTAAGTTACACCAAATGGGGACTATGATTCTTAGAAACAATAAAAACAATTCGTCGGAATAATAATTATGAGCCAAATGATTGTAAGGATGTAGAGCAACTGCACCTTTAGTTATTTAGATTTAAGTCTTAGAGTGTGTTTGATTAGCATGAAAAATACTACCTAAAAATAAAAATATTTTCCTTCTTTTGTAGAAAATAAAAATCACTTCCACCCAAAGAAAATGTTTTCCTTAAAAACAAGGAAAATTAGGCATATTTTCAAAAGTTGAAAAATATTTTTCATGGAAAAAAATAATAATCAAACACCTCAAGTAGCAATTTTTTGTGGAAAACTGATATTTTTCATGAAAAATAATTGTAATCAAACACACTCTTAATTCTTCTTCACATATTTGCTTGGTGCTCATGATTGAATTCGTATTTAATGTAAAATTTGATTATGTGTAGAATTTTTATAAATGGATGGCGGTGAATATGAATGCATTTAGACGCCAGGTGGAATAATTTTAATTAAAACTTAATTCTTCATCACATCTTTGCTTTGTGCTCATGATTGAATTCATATTTAATATAAAATCTGATTATGTGTAGAATTATTATAAATGGATGACGAAGAGACTTAAAATAGGATATTAATGCATTTAGATGTCAGGTTAAATGATTTTAATTAAATCTTACCGATTAAAGATCAGACACATTTAGTGGCAGTATCGTAATTTTAGGAAGGTGACATCTCCCTTGGCCTTTAAATACTTTGAACCCTTGATGTGGACTTGTATGTTGTGTTGTACTAGTTTATCTCGTCAGTATTTTACTCATAAGAGTCTGTGCCTGATAAAATATTTTACCTTCCATGGAAAATCAAGCACAAGATAGCGGTAGTAGGCGCAGCGGTGGCTCGGAAACTGAGAGAAATGAGCCGGTTCGATCCCGGTGGACTCCGAAGCCAGAGCAAATCCTAATACTTGAGTCCATCTTTAACAGTGGGATGGTGAACCCTCCAAAGGAGGAAACAGTGAGAATCAGAAAACTGCTAGAGAAATTTGGTGCAGTTGGAGATGCTAATGTTTTCTACTGGTTCCAAAACCGTCGGTCAAGGTCCAGACGCAGGCAGCGCCAAATTCAGGCAAGTGTTAGCGGTGGTGAACAACCACAAACTCAACCGTGGACTGGCGGTTGTGATACAATTCAGTATGAAAATACAGCTGCAGCAGGTTCTGCGCCTTCCTTCTATAATTTCCCAATGTCCTCGAGCTCCAGTTTATATGGTTCTTCTTCATCTTGCACCGAGAATGACGCTTCCAATGATATGTTCTCACTTTCCGGCCACCCGGCCCTCCCAGAAATCGACCAAAATCATCATTTCCTTTTTTTTTTTTTTTTTTTGTCAATAATGAATTTGCATTTTTACTTTAATTGAACAATTTTTCCTGTTATATTTTTTCTATAACACTATCAATTGCCTCAATTTTCCATTTTTTCCTTTTTCCCCTAAAACCCTAATTACGATATAAATATATGATAATGCTGATTTCCATTCCAATAACACGCACACGAAAGAGTGCAAAGCGAAGACAAATGCTTGTAATTAAAAACCAAAAAACAAATCTGAAATTTATTGATAATTTCACAGAATTCTCTCTTACTTTTGACTTTTCAGGATTGATAACAGTATATATCAACGGAGTTGCAACAGAAATACCAAGAGGGCCTCTGGACATGAAAGCAATGTTTGGACAAGATTTCGTGCTGTTTCATTCGTCAGGAGTACCAGTTCAAGTCAATGAATATGGATTTCTGATGCAGAGTTTGCAGCATGGCGAGAGCTATTTTCTGGTAAGCAATTTAAACCAAATTATGTAAATTTCTTTGGAAATTGTACCCCAGAAAATGATTACCATAATCATTAAACTGTTCTTTTTCTAAAGAAATCTTTATATACAAGCTCTTGGTAAATTAAGAACTTTAAATTTTCAAGAAATCCATCTCTCAAAATTTGAGCGCCCAAGAAATTAGGGCCCCTTTTGTGTGATTTAATTTTTTTTGGAAAATATGACAGAAAACAGTGTTATTGAATCATTAAGATTTTGACAGTAAAATTATTATCTGAGTTTCTATATACTGTAGAAAAGGGATTTATTGAATTTAACAATAGTTTGAGGACCACCAAATTGGCTGCTAATTTTCTATAAATTGTTTTCAGGTTCCAAGACATTCTTAAATTGGAATGATCACCTCGTTGTGGGAGCTTTCTAGTTTAGTACTTTGGAAATTCAAGCAAATTTCTTAGTTTAGTATATTAACATCTTTATGTTTCCTTTTAATTCTTGTAATATTGTTTGTTCGTTTTCATTCTCCTCCTTAAATGAAATAAAACCTTCCATATCTTTTTACATAAATGAACATCGCAGTATTAGTTTTCTCTATGCACTTTGTTGAGCAAATCCACCTACAAATCGAACCAAACAATGAATTAGTTTAAAATTTGCAAAGATTAAAGAAAAGAAAACAAGAACCAAAAATCATAAAATTGAAGAACGATTTTCCCTTTCTAAAATTAGGCTCAGAAACTTGATCCACACCACAAAGGTATTCCAATTTGATAGTCACTTTTAGTCACAAAGACAAATTCACAAAGAAGGTAGAAGAGGTTTTGGTTTTTGCTCAAAGCAGAGAGAGATTTTTCTTGTTCTTGGAGTGGTGAAAAATGAAGAAGAAAGACTCCAATTTATAGGCTTCACACAGGAACGGATTTCCCAAAAGTCTTGCAAGATTAGGTTAAATCAAAACTACAAGATTAAGCTAACTGAAAGGTAGAGATGAGATAAAGTGGTTTGAAAAAGATAACGATTATGTTTATCTATCTTTCACGTGATTTTCAAATTACCTCCAAGTTGGGCATTGATCACCTAGCCTAATGGTCTGATTACCTCTAAATACCCAACATAATTGGGCTACTTCAATTGTGGTGTGGATTTAATTCTTCAATCCTCGGCTTATAGCCTATGAAGTTAAACGAGCCTCAATTTTTCATCATAGCTTAGGGGATTTGGGTATTACTTACCAAAATATGCCCAATAACCTTCACATTGATGTCAAATCATCCTACAAGTCAGATAAGATAACAAATAACTTAAGGAAAGAGACTTACAAGTTTGTACCGATATTTAGAAGATCAAGACAGCTTCTAAACTTTACCAATGGGAGCATCTTAGTTCTCATATCTGCAGGATTATATTTTCAAAGAACTTTTTCAAGTTTTACCAGTTCTTGAGAAACTATATCTCTAATGAAACGCAATCTAACATCTATATGTTTAGTATGTCCACGAAAGATAGGATTTTTACATAGGTGAATTGCAGATTGACTATCAGAATATATTGTCACATGGTCCTTAAAAACACCAAGTTCATTTAATACACGTTTAAACCACAAAAATTCTTTAAAGGCTTCAGTAGCAACAATGTATTATGATTCTGTAGTGGATAATGCAACAACATGTTGAAGTTCTGATTTCCAACTAACACATGAATTACACAAAGTAAACATGTAGGAAGATGTAGATTTCCTATTATCTCTATCGCTAGCATAGTTAACATCAGTAAAACCTTTCAATTTTATTCATTCAGTACTAAACATATTTATTAAGCCAACATTGCATGTTCCTTTCAAATATTTAAACAACTATTTCAAAGCCTCCCAATGTTTGGGATCTGGGTCGGACATATACCTGCTAAGTGTACTAATAGCAAATACTAAGTCAGGTCTAGTACACACCATTATAAACATCATAAAACCTATGACATTTGTGTATGGAATTCGTTTCATATATTCTTATTCCTCTTCATTAGCAGGTGATTTTTCTTTAGATAAGATCAAGTGATTAGCTAAAGATAATGTAATAGGTTTACATTCATTCGTGTCAAATTTCTTCAAAATTTTCATGATATATGGAGCCTGATGCAGAAATAAAATTGAATTAGACATATCTCTTTGAATTTCCATGCCTAAGATCCTTTTAGCATTACCTAGGTCTTTCATATCAAATTTATTACTCAAAGTAGTTTTTACATCATTTAACAACTTCAAGTTGGGACCAATCGAAAGTACATCGTCCACGTATAGCAACAAAAACACACAATTATTATTGTTTGCATTACCTTGATAATATAAGCAGTGATCAAATTCACTTTTATTTTTATTTTTTAAAACCAACTATTTTAACAAACGAATCAAAGCGTTTATACTATTGCCTAGGAGATTGTTTTAAATCATACAAAGAGCGTTTAAGAAAACACACATGATCAGGTTTTTGTTTATTTTCAAAATTTTTAGGTTGATCCATAAAAATCTTTTCAGCAAGTTCTCCATGCAGAAAAGTAGTTTTAACATCGAATTGTTCAAGTTTGCAATTGAAATGTGCAACTAATGCAAGCATATTCCTAATTGTGGTATATTTAACAAGTGGAGAAAAGATTTCATTAAAACCTACCATTTCCTTTTGTGTGTAACCTTTAGCAACAAGTCTAGCCTTAAACTTTAAACCCTCTCATTTGGTAATTCTCTCCTTAATTCTAAAAACCCATTTACACCCAATAATAGATTTGTCTTTAGGTCTTGGGACTAATTTCCATATTTGATTTTTATTGGGGGAATTTATTTCTTCTTTCATCGCTTTCACCCAATCTTCAAATTGTTCACTCTTCAAGGCTTCTTCATACGTATTTGGTTCTCAACTAGTTCTTCAAAACTAGTATAAAAAAGTTCAAAATCAAACTCAAACTTTTGAGGCACCCTATGTGTTCTTCTAACTCTGTCTCTAGCTAACTGGTAATCAGACAAAGGGTTTTGTTCTCTTTGATATTCCTCTATAACTTCATCTCTCTCAATATTTTCACTCTGATTATCTTCTAGTTCAGGATTTTGATGCTCCACCTCGATTGAGGTGGTAGGGGTTTGAACACTTAAGAATCTTAAATTCACTTGAGATTTGTCACTAGTGTTTTCTTACTATTTTTCTTTCAAGGTATCGCTTTCTGATTTTAGACACGGCATTTTAGACTTATTAAATGTAACATCATGACTTATGATGATCTTAACTCTAGTTTGACTTCTATCCCAAAGCATATAACATTTAACTCCTTCAAGATATCCTAAGAAAACACATTTCCTAACTCGAGGTTCTAGTATTCCCTCATTTTGATGAGAGAAAGTAGCATAGCTAAAAGTTTTTAACATAGTATAGTCAGCACATTTACCATACAATTTTTCATATGGAGTATCACCATTTAATGTAGTATAAGGTGTTAAATTAATCAGATAACACGCAGTTATAACAGCGTCACCCCAAAAAGATTTAGGGATTCCAGAACTCAACATCATACATCTAACTTTGTCAAATAAAGTACGATTCATATGTTCAGCCATCCCGTTTTGTTGAGGTGTATAAGGAATAGTTTTATGTCTAGTAATTCCACATTTTTCACACAAATCATCAAAATCATTATTACAGAATTTTAGGCCATTATCAGTTCTTAGATATTTTATCTTTTTACCAGTTTGGTTTTTGCACAAAGCAGAGAGAAATTTTTCTTGTTCTTGGAGTGGTGAAAAATGAAGAAGAAAGACTCCAATTTATAGGCTTCACACAGGAACGGATTTTCCAAAAATCTTGCAAGATTAGGTTAAATCAAAACTACAACATTAGGCTAACTGAAAGATAGAGACAAGATAAAGTGGTCAGAAAAAGATAACGATTATGTTTATCTATCTTTCACGTGATTTTCAAATTACCTCAAAGTTGAGTATTGAGCATCTAGCCCAATAAGCTGATTACCTCTAAATACCCAACATAATTAGGCTACTTTAATTGTAGTGTGGATTTAATTCTTCAATCTTGAGTTTAGAGTCTATGAAGTTAAACGGGCCTCGATTTTTCATCATAGACTGGGGGATTTGGGCATTACTTATCAAAAAATGCCCAACACACTTACTTCTATATAATTCGTAGTCACTAGTCATATGTTTGATATGACTGAGTAAACGAGGTAAATATTTTAATTATAAATTATGTTGAGCTCAACGTGCTAAATATGACATCACGTTGTCGAGGACAAGTGATCTTAACAATGGGAATGTTATTGGAATTTATTGGTTTAAACGTATAAATGTGTTAATTTTTTGAGTAACCATTTTCCATTTCCCATACAGCTCCTAAGATTAACTATTGTGATTTCTAAACCATACCAAAAATCTCACAAGTTATTATTATTATTATTTAAAATTTTTATTATTTTGTGTTTTATGAAACTAATTCCTCTTGTGAAAAATTGAGGGATGTGTGAAAATTGACCAAACAAGTGAACAAGATTCAGTGCACATTGCAGCATTTTTTTTAATTTTTTAATTTTTTAATTTTTTAATTTTTTTAATGCATATGATGTACAAAGCACAATTTTTGATTAATTCGATCTCGTTTTCCTTGATCCAGCGGGCGGCAGGTTGAATCCTTAATTTATTCCAGCATATATAATTATTTATAAAATCGAGCGGCTCCGTACTACTAAAAGGCTTTCTCGTGAATGAAAAATAAAAAAATATAAACAAATTCTTTATGCAGTTTTTATCATGGCACATTTACGAAAATTTCATATGTTTAGTCTTTAGTACAATTTTTATGGATAAATTACGGCGAAATTTGAACTAAAGTCTTTCTGTGGCACTGATGTCATGTTAATCGCCTAATTTAAGTTTATAAATTTTAAATAATATAATTTTTTTTAATTTTTTTTGAAATTCATTGTAACTAAAACTTTTTTTTTTCTTTGATACTGTGTTTGACCATATGAAAATTGTTAATATATCTTATCGATGTACGCTTAGATATGTCATATCTATTAGGTAAAATCTCAAGTTCCAGAATAATAGAGTGAAAGAGTTAGTTTCAGCAATTGTCACAATGAACTTTGGAAGAGATTTTAAGCTGGAGATTAAAGTATTTTTTTTTATTTCATCAGTCATTGAAGTTTAAAACCTTTCATAAATGATCACTTAATTATAAAAAATAACATATAATGCAACGTACTACCATCCATTGCCACAGTGGACTGATCAACGTTAATCTACCTTGTCGAAAAAAATTAACCCTACTAATACAACAATTGTTGGAGAAAAATCTCAAAATCAACCTTCATCTTATACCGTAACTCTAACCCTATCCTACAGTAAATAGTAGGAAACAATGGTGAATTTGGGTTTTGGAAAGGAATCTTGTCTATTTTTATCAAGGGATAACAAAATGCTCTGTATCCACATTGCCTTCACATCGCTCAATAATCGGAGAGAGCAGGGATGGAGAACGTGGTTCCCACACCGA